AAATGTGACACCCTCTACCCCAACGTTAATACACAATAAATGTAAACAATAATTTCTTTTTCTTTTTGAGTAAATAAAATCTTTCATAGTTTAATAACATCTTTCATGTATAAAACAATTGTTTCAAATCTCATAAGGTAGAAGATTCACATTCGTAACTCATCAATCATAAAAAGTCAACATATAAGTATCAAAACTTAAAAAGTCATATAAAAGAAAATATAAACTTAATTCCAACAAAGGTGGCAGTGCCTCCTAGTTAGGAATTAATTTTCAATTCATATAATAAAAATAATATGATAAAGATGTACATTTTGGTCTTTTCTCAAGAACGTTCAAAATTACAAAGGAAGAGAAAATTAAAGCTTTTAAAACAATAACATCCAAAATAAGCCTAGTTATGCCCGATGTCACATCCTATCAGAGCATGCCCAACTGAAGTCTTAAGCATCATTACCAACATCCTCATGATGTTGATCACCTGCCACATAATTTACACATATACAAAAATAACAAGGGAGTGAAAAACATCTCACTCAGTTTCAGGTGCAGCACTTTATCATATAACATTGAAAATGCACATGTATGGACACGCACTACATATTATCATGCATGTGGTGCCAATAAAACATCAAATGGCATATTGCCGCTAGCAATTTACGAAGAGTAGGCTAGAAGTACATGTCGGGTCACACCCTCTGCGCACTCTCACTAGAAGGATATACTACCAGAGTCTCGTCGGGATAGCTAAGCCGCGCAAGATACATCCCATGCACACAATGGGCAAGACTGGGACTTCCAAACCGAGCTATCCCCAAGGACTAATCCTCAAAGCGTTTACACTAGGGGGCCTTCTCTGGCGGTTTATTCCATATCGTACCCTTAAAACACTTATGCAAATGATGCATGTCAATCAAGACTCTATGCATTCTCATATCACATTATCATTTCCCATAGTCATTTCACATCATCACATTTCGTCATCACATTTCATCATCGTATTTCATTATCACATTTCATATATCATATCTCAATCACATTTCACATTATCTCATCATATTCACAAAGCCTCCACATAGCACTTTAATTTATATCAAAACTCGTTTATTTATAAAATTAAATACATATTTTTACATCTCATCAAACAAGGAATATAACTAACAACCAATGTGCAATATTAAAAAAGGCAGGCACTAGGAGAATTAGACCAAGAATAGAAATTATACTTGAAAGAAGGGAATCTAACCCTTAACCATCTCCATGAGCGTAATTGTACCAGATTTAGCATTTCAGAAACAGGAGTTATTTTAGAGCTGAATATGAGATCATTTCTTGCCAGCCAGATGGTCCAAATAACAGATAACCAGATAAGAATCCAACAATTTTGATACTTCGCAGAACAATATCGAAGCCCATAAAATTGTTCCAAGTTTTGCACACAACAATTATGCATAACAGAATTTAATCCTAACCAATTGAAGCACGCCATCCAAAGCTGAAAAGAGACCTCACACTCAAAAAAACAAGTGAGAAGTAGTTTCTTCCTTATTCCTACACAAACCACATTCCAACTGTGTTGCTTGCAGAACACCTCTTCTAAACAAATTATCTTTAGTTGGGATTCTATTCAAAATCACCCTCCAAGCGAAAGCTGAAACTTTTGTTGGAGCAATGCTAGTCCATATCCACTGAAATATGACATTAGATGCAAATATTATGTCATTCCTCAAGACCTTATAAGCCGAGCTAACTGTATACACCTTTTCTGGTGCAGCAATCCAGGACCATTTATCTTCATCAGAAACAATGAATTTCAAACCATTGATAACATTAACAAGAGTATTTAGGAGTTGTTGCTCCCAGACCAATAATCTTCTTCTC